CGGTCGCCCTAGACGTGGTTCGAGGAGGGAACAGGTTCTGGGGAAGTCTTTGACGTGAAGGAACGGCCGTGCTCAGAACGTCGACTCCAGGCCCGTGTTTTCTAAGTACAGGAGCAATGAGTCCAGGATCAGTGCGATTCTGGCCGAGTCTCCCTCAGGCCGGGCCCAGCCTTCCAGGTTGGACGGCCTCGATGCAGTGGAAGAAGACTAAACGCTTTCTTTCTTTCGTTGGTGAAGTGACCGCACTCCCACACGAGGTGGTGCAGGTTTGCACTTAGGTTTCTTGCAGTAGGGACAGATCTCAGGCTGTTCCAGTGAATGTTGGCGTTGCATCTCGCTGCGGCTGTGGCGGGGAGGCCGGCGGGGAAAGGCTGTCGACACTGGCGGTCTGTTTCTGCCGATCTCGCCAGCACTCAGTTCCCACTTGCGTCGGTCGTGAGGGGTCGCGGCACTGCCGGTCCTGATCCTGCGCAGAAGGACCATTTTCTTCCTGGAGTAGCGGCCAAGCGGGATGGGGTCGGGGTTCGCGCGGGAGGGAGGCCTTGAGCCTCTTCTTTAAGTCTTGTCTGACCTTTCTCATTGCGTCTTCAGGGTCGTAGAGGGTCGGTCTCTTGTCTCGTCTTGCTTTCCTGGGGCCGGTCCTGCCAGAGTAGGCTGAAGTGCCGGGCAGGGAGTCCACACTTCGTGGCCGCGAAAGGAGAAACGTTGCTAGTGCTTCCGCGGACCGGTGAGCGGCCTCGTTGCCTGGCACTCCGGCATGGCCGGGGACCCAGTGTACAGTGGTTTTAACGTTCTTGCTCTCGAGGCGCCTGGCGAGTGCAAGAATGCGCCGGGTGGTCGGGCTGTTGGGGTCGTTGCTTTCGGCATCTTCGTATGGCTTCCTGGGCGTCGGTGTAAATGTCCACCGTCTTCACGGGTGAGTTCAGGCTTTGGGTAACGTGTTCCAGGGCGGTGAAGGATCGCCTGGGCTTCGGCTTCCTCGGGCGTTCCAGCGGTCTTAGTTTCGCGGGCTCCATGACTGTGTTTTGGCGGAGATCGTGCCAGGCCGTGGTGGTGACTAGATCCTTATGTGCTGCGTCTGTGTACAGCACGATGGTGGTGGGGTCTTCCAGTTTCGTGGTTTACGACGCGGTCAGGTGCTTTTGGGCGTAGTCCCGGCGCCGTTCCGGTTGGTCCAGGCCCATATTCCGCGGTATAGGTGTGCTGGAGGCCACGTCTGCTATTTCCCACGGGGGGGATTGGGCGGCCGAGTTTAGGAAGCGTGGACACGTCTTGTCGCAGGAGTCGTAGTATGGCCCTGCCCTGTCTAGTGTGTTGCAGTGAGACGAGGTGCAGTTCGTGCTGGTCCTTGGCTAAGTCCTGTAGTTTGGGAAGGGGAACGCACCTGTGTAGCTCCTCCAGTTTGGTGTGTCTCGGTAAGCCCGCAATAGTTCTTCGGGCGTCATTCTGCCATCTTTCAATTGCTCGCCAGTGACTCTTATTCAACTTGTAGTAGTTTGCTCCGTAAAGTACCCTTGGAAGCTAGCACGGCCCGTATCAGGGTCTTGGCCACCTCCTCGCTCGCACCACCGGTCTTTTGGGCGATGCGGCGGACCAGTGCCGTGCCCTGTTTCCAAATCTTGGCCATCTGGTTAGCCATTCTTTGGGGGACTTTCGTTGGTTGAAGAACACTCCCAGGGATCTTGTCGCGTCTCTGCTTGGGCGATGGGAGACCACCGAAGGTCAAGTCGTGAGTTGGGTGGACTTTGCGGGGTAAATATCATGTATCTGGTTATTGTCTGGTGACGGGGAGAGTCCGGTCTCTTTGAGGAATGCTTCAATGGTGTCCAGTCCTTTCTGAAGGGTCTGCTCCCTCCTCGCCGGGTTCCACTTGTCGTCCAGATGGTGATATCGTCTGCGTATATGGTGAACTTCAAGGTGGAAATCTTGTTCAAGCGCCACGCCAGCGGGGCCATTGTCAGGTTAAACAGGATTGGGGAGATCACCGCGCCCTGGGGCACACCAATATTGTTGTTCCTTAGAGGTCCGCATATGTCACCAGTCTTGATGGAGTACTTCCTTTGTTTTCAGAAACCCCTTCACAAAGTTGAGGGGCTTGTGGGTGATGCCACCTTCTCGGAGTGCCTTTACGATCGCTTCATGGGGTAGCAAGTCGAATGCCTTACAGATGTCGACCGCGACTAGCGAGCAGGTGCTTCCCTTGCGGTAGACGTCTGTAGACAGAAGTAGGAGGCTGTCTCTCGTACCCAAATGTTGTCGGAAGCCCGTTTGTGCCGCGTGGAAGAGCTTACGGTCCTCGGCGATCCAGGTGATGCGTGCTAGGACGATCCTCTCAAACAGCTTGCACATTACCGAGGTCAGGGATATAGGCCCGGGTATTCTTCGGTGTGTTCGGGGTTTACCCGCTTTCGGGATCGGGGTGACCCACGACTCATGCCATTCGTCCGGGAAGGTGTCGGTTTCCCACATGTGGTTGAACCAGCGAAGGACTTGCTGCTTTCCTTCTTCGGGTAGGTTCCGCAGCATGCTCGCGGTGATGCCGTCTGGGCCGGGAGCAGACTTTATTCTCCCTTGGTCAATAGCGGGTCTCGAGCTCCCATCGGGTGATCGGGGTGTTCCACGGAGGGGGGTCTTTCGGTGCTTGTTCTAGAGTGTAGATTGCTGCATTCGGGGGGCGCGCGTCTACGTGGCTCCCATTGGCCGCTGCGCTCGTCAGTTTCCACGACCACTCACCCCATGGCGCTGCGTGTCCATCAGCGCGCTGTTAACACGGAGCGTTCAAGGTCAGCGTGTCCAGGGGGGCACGCGCGCTGACCGGCGACGAAGAGTACGTGGCAGACGAAATAGGGAGCGGACGACCGGCTTGCATGCTTTTGCATTCACAACTCATAAGAGGTGCTTAGGTGTACTTCGAGCTTTTTGTACTACCCTACAAAAATCCACCAGTCAAATCAGGATTAGTAGTATTGACAAATAAATAAAAAAATAATTGAACCCCATTGATACGTTCCAGGTTTTTACGTTTTTCAAGGCTTTTGCATTCAAAACCGCGGCCGGTCACTCTCCGAGCCTTCAACCATTGGGGGCCTTCTTGGTCTTTACGTTTCCCGGATAATAAGCTTTTTATATCGCGGTTCATAAAGAAACGTATCAACGAGGCTCTACTGTATTATCTTAAACTCTATTGCCCTACCGGGCAGCCTGCTCTTTAGTTTCGCCGAATTTGATTTCGAGGAGACTACGAACCGTTTACCGTATTTCCCAACCTATAGTCCGCGCCCGGTGTATAGATCAACGTGCCGTTTACATACGAGTCCTCGTTTGCCTATAGTGTGGTCACTGAACGTGTGCAAGAAACCAGATTTGCATGAAGTGAAGTGTCTGCGCCTGACCGCCGACCGCGTCGCCACCGCGGCGGCACGCCGTCGGAGCCGTGCACTGGTATATATAGTCTGAAGGGGCAGATTTCGGTTCAAAAGGAAACACTTGCCTTAGCTAGTCCGTACCTGGTGCCCAGTCTGCATGCAAAATATTATCATGCAAAACACATCTTGGAAAATGCTTGCTTCGTTAGCTCACAAAAAAGCTTGTATCGTACATTTATCCCCGCTAACATATACTCAGTCATTAACAAAATACGTATCTCACGTCTTATTGTAATAAACAATCCAGAAAAAAAAAACCTTCATTTGTATAGTGCACCTGTATATAGCCTGAAGAGTCTTAAGTCGAAGAAAAAGACAACAGTAGGAGAACGTCTGAAACACAGCTAACATTGTTCATCTTTCACGCTCCTTATATACACCCGGTGCTGATGTCACCGACACCGACTTTTCGACGGATACACTCTGAGCGAACACAAGAAGCGAATGACCTTGATAACAGTAGACCCATTCATATAAACAGTATAACCTTTTTTTCATAATGGCTATATCTTGAAGACACTTACTTTTACAACTATCAACAAAACCCTCTAAGAACGATTTGGAGGACAGACAGCAATACACTGAAGTTAAAAATCAAATCGCCCATATCTCATAAAAAAATATGTAGTTAGTTTATTGCTGTCTTTTAAAGCGCAGCTCTAAGGCGGCCGTTTCCGGCTTGAACGGCGTCGCCGTCGGGCCTCGGCGTCGCCCGTCGCCGCCGCCGTCGGCGTAACCGCGCGGGTGCATTACGGGTAAATTTTCCCGAAGAAAACCCGAGGTCCTCCCGAGGGACCTCGGGTTTCTTCGGGAGGACCTCGTGTTTCTTCGTAAGAACCTCGAGAAGACCTCGGGTTCCTTCGGGATGACCTCGGGAGGACCTCGCGTTCCTTCGGGAGGACCTCGGGAGGATCTCGGGTTCCTTTGGGAGGACCTCGGGAGGACCTCGGGTACCTTCGGTGACTTCGGGAGGGGGGGTCACGTGACCCCCCCCCCACGTGACCCTTCCGAGGTCACGTAACCCCCCTTCCCCGAGGTCACGTGACCTCGGGTTCCTTCGGGAGGACCTCGGGAGGACTTCGGGTTCCTTCGGGAGGACCTCGGGAGGACCTCGGGTTCATTCGGGAAACATCTCGGGAGGACCTCGGGTACCTTCGGTGACCTCGGGGAGCGGGGGTCACGTGACTCTCCCTTCCCCGAGGTCACGTGACCCCCCCACCCGAGGTCACGTGACCCCCTCCCCCAGGTCACGTGACCCCCCCCCCCCTCCCCCCGCCCGAGGTCACATCACCCCCCCCCTCTTGCACCCTTTCCTCCCCCCTCTTCAAGAGCTGCGAGCTGCGCTCTAATTCGGCGTTACAGGTAGTTGTAAACGGCTTTCACCTGTTTCTCTTCGACTTAAAAGATTCTTTTTCCACACCAGTCTTAGGTGTACTCAAAGAAATATAGTACTACGAGCTAATTTGATGTCCAAAGCACCTGATGAGGGGTGCGAAAATAAACCCGCGGGTTTAATAGAAGGGCCGGTCCCTGGCATCCATACTGCTCACGCTGTCTTCTCATCGTTGCCTGCAGGTTCCCAGGAGAAGCGCGAGTTCCTGAAGCGGCGCTTCCCACAACTGCAGCGACCGCAACTTCGCAAACTCTCGGGACCTGTCTTTCGAAGAGCACATCCTCCGCGAGACCGAAGGCAGGGGTGAGTATGCGTTCTGCGTTCGCCCCACACCTCGAGGCCCCAGGATTCGACGGCCCTCCCGACTCCCTCGTTTACCGGACAAAAAGGACGGTGCGGGAGAAACGGCTAGCTCCGGGAGCTTGTGGGAGGGGCCAAGAACCTTCTCGTGCGCGCCCAGGGGTGGACCTGGTGCTGAACTCGCTGTCCGAGGAGAAGCTGCGGGCGGAGCGTGCGCTGCCTGGCCACCCACGGCCGCTTCCTGGAGATCGGCAAGTTCGACCTGACCCAGAACAACGCCCTGGGCATGGCCGGTGTTCCTCAAGAACGTCAGCTTCCACGGCATCCTGCTGGACGCCCTGTTCGGGGACGACCCCCGAGTGGCGGCGGACAAGCGCCGGGTGATCCAGCTGAGTGCGCGAGGGCATCGCCTCGGGCGCCGTGCGGCCCCTGGACGCCGTCCGCTTTGCCCGGGACCGCGTCGAGGACGCCTTCCGCTTCATGGCTTCCGGCAAGCACATCGGCAAGGTGGGTGCTCGAGGTGGGTACCCCCACGCCGCTCGCCAGATCGTTCTGGCCAGTGTTACCGTCGCGCTTTCTTCCTCCTACGACCGTCCCACCTGTCGCAAGAAAACTGTTTTTCAGACATATTTGTAACTGCTTGCGATCTAGTGCATTATGACCTCTCGCGATATCTTACAAGAGTAGACGCTGGCGACATCTATGAGGTAATCCTGAAACTGCGTTTCACTGGAGCCAACGAGGTAGAGAGGCTTAGAGCAATAAACTGGTATCTCATTCACCAGGCAAAAGTTAACCCTACTTGACTGCCGCCATGTACAATTTTGACCACTAGACACGTGACGGTACCAAATCCCGATGCTTTTACGCAAAACTGAGCAGAGATTGGCATGCGATCCGCTGTAAAACACATGATGAACGATTTTTTTAAAAACTGTTAGCCCTCAAGATTAGTGTCTAGCTCCTATAAAAACCCAAAATACAGCACCGCGGCTGACGGCATATAGCGGATGACTTGTGAAGCTGCCCGAGTTTTTGTCCTAAAAGCACATTTTGTACTAAACGTAAAAACTATAAAGTCACGTGTCTAGTGGACAAAAAAGTGGAAGCCGTTTACAACACCCTGTAACGCCGAATTGGAGCGCAGCTCTTGAGGAGGAGGAGGGAAGGGTAGTGAGGGGAGAATAGACCCCTCCTCCTCCTCCCCTCATTTTTAATATGCTCCGGGGGTCACCTGACCTCAGGGGGGAGGGGGTCACGTGACCTCGGGGGGGGGTCACGTGACCGGGGGGAGGGGGGGTCACGTGACCTCGGGGAGGGGCCACGTGAACTTGAGGGTCACTTGACCTGGGGGGTCAGATGACCCCCCAAGGTCACGTGGGGGGCCACATGGGGGTCACGTGACCTTGAGGTGCCCTTGGAAGGGGTCACGGTGACCTTGGGGGTCACGTGACCCTGGGGAGGGGTAACGGGACCTGGGGGTCACGTGACCTTGGGAGGGGTCACGTGACCTCGGGGGTCACGGTGACCTTGGGGGTGACCTTCTGAGGGGTCACGTGATCTCGGGGGGTCACCTGACCTCGGGGGGGTCACGTAACCTCGGGGGGTCACGTGACCTCGGGGGGGGTCACGTGACCGCCCCCCCCCGGTTACGCCGACGCCGACGGCGACGCCGACGCCACTCAGGCTGGAAACGGGCCCCTAAGAGGTGCGCTCTAAAATGTGCAACATGGCGGCGGCCCATTGGGGGTCACTTTCAGCAGCCAGTTTATCGCTCTAAGGTCCTTTACCCCGTTGACCAGAGTGAGGGTTTTGCGAGGTCAAATGTACATATACTATGTACGTGAAATGGTTGTTTATAACATCGCCAAAAGCTCTTCAACCCAATAGCGAAAGAATGATGCAAAAAATATTACAATCGCGTGTGTTCCACGGCTAGCCGATAGATGGAGCACCACTGTGCTCTCTCGACGTTAGAGAGCCTACATTGCAGAGAGTTTTCATCCGCTGGATCGGGGTTACGTGGTTTATATTTGCAATACGACCTGCGAGGAGGTGACGAAAACGTCGGTCGTGTAGCAGGGGTCTCTGCCTTTCCACCCGCTTTCCTCCTTGCCACGCGAAACCACGGCGCATGCGCACTTGCCATCAAACATAACCGGAAGCGTCCGCCATTAAATTGCAAAGGCTCTCCGTGCTTCGAGATGGATCCTCTCTACTTCTAGGCTCTATTCTCGTCATAAGAGATCACGAGAGGTGGTTATGCACTCAGTCGTAAGTAGTGTGAGTGTGTGAACCGACCTTTAGACCGCACAATAGTGCTTAAACCAAACCTGAGTGTGTGAACGAGCCTATAGGGTGAATTCGGAAGATTGCTATTTTGTCGCGTGTTGATCCGCCCTGGAGCGCCGCCGTTTCCTTCGGCGCCTGACTTGTTTCCGCCACGTTAAGCGGGCGTTCGGAGGCACTAATGACTCTAACCAAGTAAAGCTCATCGAAGCTCATCGATGTGTCAAAAGCTCTTTGCGCGTCAAATTTGCCAAAAAACAAGGCCCGTGCCTCGTGCGGCGTAGGAAATGGTGGTGCGGCTCTGAATGAGTCGCCCTTGGAAGCGAAGGGCGACCGAGCACTCGTTCGTGCGCGCTTTTTCAGCAATAATAATAGTAATAATTCTCTAATTTCTTCCTGCCTCAGAACAACTTCGCGGTTTTCAGTACTCGAAAACAATTATTTTCGGTACTTGAAAGAAACGCGAAGCGTGAAGTTTACAGGGGGCCTTACGACCGAACACGTTCTCTCCCAGGTGCGGCCCGAGGAGCCTCAGCGGCAGACGGTGGCGCCCACGCCCCTCTCGTTGAAGGCCCACGCCCGCACCTACTTCTTCGAGGACAAGAGCTACGTGGTGACCGGAGGCCTGGGCGGCTTCGGCCTGGAGCTGGCCGACTGGATGGTGGTCCGGGGCTGCCGCAGGCTGCTGCTCACGGCCCGCTCGGGCGTCCGCACGGGCTACCAGCGCCTCTGCCTGCACCGCTGGCGGCTGGCCGGCGCCAAGGTGGCGGTGAGCCGGGCGGACGCGGCCACCGAGGAGGGCGCCAGGGCGCTGCTGCAGGAGGCCGCCGCCCTCGGCCCCGTGGGCGGCATCTTCAACCTCGCCCTGGTGGGTTGCGCCCAAAGCTGGTGAACGCGTCGGACTCTTTTTTGAAATTTTGGCTCGAAAACCAGTTTCACTTTATGGCAAACTAATGACTGTCGCGACTTTCGCGCGTCAATGCAGACAAGAATAGACCCTTTTCGCAATTTAGTGCATTCTGTGGCTCGAAAAGCCGCTTCACTTTCAACAACCTAAGGGCGGTCACGACGCTGTATTTCGTCGGGCGTCGTCACTTTCGCGTGTTAGTGGTAGACAAGAATTGGGTCTTCGATTGAGGGACCTTTCTCGACGGACAAGTGCCTTCTGGGGGACTGCCTGTGAACTACAAATGGAGGGCAACCCAACGTCCTTCCAGCGGTCTTCCATTCGTCGGAACGCATTGGCATGGTACCATTGCATAGGATTCTGTTGCCCTTTTTATGCCCCGTGCTACCTATGCTCGGAAAGGAATCGTCAGCAAACACGAAATTTCCGCAGACAGGTGTCTTCAAGGTAGTCGTACTATACGGTGCCCTCTATAAATGGCGGCAGCTGAAAGCAAATGTCAGGGGTGAAAGCGTAACCATGCGCAGAGACTTACTTGAAAGATGTGACTAGGGATGCCGCGAACTTTTTTCGAATCGAAGTTTCGATGATCGAATCAAGCGGTTCGAAAGGTTCGAAAGATTTCGATTTTTCGAATTGTCTATGTCGTAAAATTCGACGGAGGTCGAATTTTCGAACTTGTTAAGCTAAGAAGTTCGACGCTTTTCGAACCGTCGAACTTATTACGCTAAAAAATTCGATATGTTTCTAACTTTCGAATTTATTGCGCTGCAAGGTTCGATGCTTGTCGAACTTTCGAACTTGACTGACCAAAATATTCGATGAATTTCGGACTTTCGAAGTTATTTATCAAGAGAATTTGAAAAGTTTCGAACTTTCGAATTCTGAAAAGTCAGAAGTTCGACGAACTTCGAACTTTTAGGGTAAAAGTTCGACGTTCGTCGAACTTCGAAAGACCGGCGGACGGTTTCATTTGATTTCAAGTAGTGGGGTACATTCGTAATTTTTTTTTCTCGAACTTTTACACGCGGTGCTGCGTTCCTTACGAAAGACAATGTCGTTTATTTCAATGTTCTGGCATGCTTAGGTTTAAAGAAATAAATCCCCGAAGGGGCGAGGAAGGACGACGGGTTTTTGACGATTATTGTTTGTGCCAGATTTGAAGCACGCTGCAGCCGGAGCTATTTATGGTAGATATGTTATACTTTTTTTAAGAATGATCTATGTATAGCCGTAAGTGCCGTCTTAAGATGTGATTATTGTTATTCAACGTGAGTTTCGAAGAAATGTCCCAACATGTATCTGCATGCAATTATGACCTAAACTTGATATTTATTTTCGTCTAAGTTGTTTGAGGTATCGCATTTAAATTAACACCACAGACAGTACATATCATTGCCATCTGCAGAATACAAAATAATATATTTATTGTTTTTTCACGTTAAGGAATAAATTAACTCATGGGAGAAGATTTCTAGTAGTGTTCAAGTTCAGCACATCATTAAAAGAAAACTTTTTTTTTTTTTCGCTTCACGTTCCTGGGACGTGTTTCTTTTAGCCTGTACACATTTTGGTAAAAGAAACTTGTTTCGAAGTTCTGAACCTCTGAATATGCAAGAATAGAACACTTCCGACGAATTCTTGATAGTTTTTTTTTTTTTCTCCTGCTTTTTATTCCCGCATTTATTCTTTTTTTTTTTTTCTTTTGTTACTATCGGCACAGGTGTTTAGGTCGAAAAGACAGCTTTGAACTTCCGAACCACTAAGCATGTGACGAGCAGTGCCTTCTGACAACGAGTTTCTACCAATGACCATCTACGCAACCTTTTATGCAGTGAAGAGCGACATTAGCTATACATATGCATCAATAATTTCAGATTAAAATAAGCTCGACCACGCCCTCTTTCCCCGTATTGTTTTCTTGAACAGTCCAAAATACCTGCAAGGGGGAGAAGGAGGCTGAAGCCCCCCCCCCCCCCCCCCCCCCTCCGCTACCCTCTTTCCCCCCGTTTTTCCTCTTCCGACGCCACTTGTATGGTAGAACGCTCCTCGACCTCGAGTTGTGTCGGCTTTTGTGCTTTTTGCGAGGCGATTCCTCCGTCCCAGAAAATAAACCTCCAGGACAATTATAAACTTCACCGGATCGGATTACTACCAGCGTGCAAGGGGTGGCGAGCTAGTTTGCCAGGTCGCTTCACGGTTTTTCTGAGCCTCAACCTCCTGCTCGCCCCTGGCCGTTTCAAACTGGAAGAGTCTCGTAAAACAGTGTGTTCGTGCAATCACTACTGCGTGATGCAAATTAAAGGCCCCCCCCCCCCCCTCCCGGGGGCTGGCGGTCACAATTCTGCAATGGCAAATATTATAGCACGTCCGGGACACTCGTCGTCTCATTTAATTGCCTGACCAACTTCGCAGAATCTAGATATCACACCCTAACTTTTCTAAACTTGATTTTGTGAAAACCAATGAGTCGTGAAAACGTTATTTGAAACTGAAACTGTGGAAAGACTTGAAAATCGGACTTCGAACTTTGAAAACTTGGACTAAAAAAAAATTCAAAATCTTCGAAGTTTTTTTTTTTTTTAATTTAGCGTTAAAAGAGAATCGAAACCTTCGAACTTTTCGAACTTTATGCAAAAAGAAATTCGAAATCTTCGAATTGTTCAAACTTCATGTCTATAAAAATTTGAAGCGTTCGAAGTTTTCGAATTTTTTTTACAAAGAATATCGAAATCTTCGAATTTATCGAACCTGAAGTAAAAAAATATTCGAAATATTCGAAATCGAAATTTTAGAAACCGTGAAAGCTTCGAACTTTTCGACTTCGAAACTTTGCTGTGGGCAAAAGTTGCGAATTTTTCGAAATCGAACCTCGGTCGGTACGAAAATATCGAAATTTTCGATATCGAACCTCAGTTCGCTTCGCAAATATCGAAAGCTTTCGAAATCGAACCTAGGGTGGTTCGCGACATCCCTAGATGTGACATCGCGGCAAAAGCATTGCCCAGATTTGTTCTGTTGACCTGATATGGCATTTCTTCCCAAGAAATTAGTGTGTGTCGTACTTTAGTAAAAAAGGTGCCCTTTGAAGACTTAAAAGGGGAACGGTCGTCTCTGAAGGACGCACGACGACAACTTGGGAGACGCACGACAGCGCATGCGCGGTTAATCGCCGCCTCATGTCGTTTCACCCGCTGCGTCTCCTGCAAGAGTGATGGTCGCTTCTCCCCGCAATACTCGCAGTAAACAAATTGGGGTCAATCGCGATACTCTGCCCTGCAAGCGGAAGATCTACGGTTACTCTAGTCACAGTGAAACGCGGATGCGTGAGCCGTTCCCGACAGGGTGTGTGTGTGGAGCGCAGGTGCTGAGGGACGCCCTGTTGGAGAACCAGACGTCGGAGGCGTTCGAGACGGTGTGCCGCCCCAAGGTGGCCGGCACCCTGCACCTGGATGCGGTGTCCCGGGAGCTGTGTCCCCAGCTGGACCACTTCGTGGCCTTCTCGTCGGTGTCGTGCGGCCGGGGCAACAGGGGCCAGACCAACTACGGCTACGCCAACTCCGTCATGGAGCGCGTCTGCGAGAGGAGGGTGGCCGACGGACTGCCCGGTGGGTGTCTCTTGCTCCGGGGCACAGGTTCTCGGGCTTTACGATCTTGAGGAACTAGGTTATTGAGAATATTCAATTAGTGGTTCCGATTAATACGTCGTTTCATATTTAGCTTCGGGGTAAACCGCGATATTCATACTTATCGAACCATTGATTGCGGCGGCTCCGCGGGTATTGCTTCGCCGCGGTGCACAGGTGCTCGTTGAGAAGAGCACTCAACGGGCCAAATCCGCCGCGATGAACGCTTCGAAAAGCTCAAATATTCCAGTTTACCTCGAGGCGAACCTCAAATAGCATGTTATTCGAAACTACAATTGGGAAACTTGAACATTCGCACAACAGTACTTGAATGACGGCTGAGGAACTCCTCCTACACTCGACATTGATGCGATAAATCGGTTGAGAAGCCTACAACTACCATAAAAAGTAATCTGTACACAGTAGGGACTGTCTGGGTTATAGTTGTGCATCAGTGTATGGCCCAAATATTTCGAAGTAGTGCTTGCATTTGTGCAAAACTTTAGCTTAGGGACGGGAGTGTTCGAGAAAATGGTTTGGGGAACCCATGAGAGTGCTCTGGGGAGCCACTGAGTTCCTGGAACCAATAATCTCTGGGAAATCTATCGAATGTACCATGTTGTCCTTGCAGTCTTCTCAAAAATGCAGCTAGTCTAACCGTCTCCTTCTCTAAACATTTGATTGTGCACCTCTGGCCTACACATGGACACGTCGCTCGTCACCACGATGTACGGAACTGCCGGAATCGCACCAAATATGTCTTTCCTGGCACGAGATATTTGAAAAGCATTATGTTAATGCCCTTTGCAAATTTCATCGTGCAAGACTTGCTCAGAGATGTCTCAAACACAAAAGTCCCAGCAACTGTGTAAAGTACTACTCTTTAGGCGAGGACACGCTGCCCGGCAAATGCTTCGACGCGACCTACTGCATGTGCCCGAGTAGCCAATGCCAAGAGCGTCACCATTTGCCTAACAACACAACGCGCTAAAAAAAAGTGCTGCATTGCCATGGCACCCAGGTGCAAGCACTTTCTGCTCGGTGCATCTGCTCCGACCTCAAAGGAAGCTGGCTGGAACGCTGCATCAAATATCTCTCCAGTTCAATGCGTTCATAAAACTTGCTGCCTTTCATCGAGGCATGAAACTAGGATCAATAGAAAGTTTTAGAATAATGTGCACAATTATAGTCTCATTCGCGCTATATTTAGCACTTGTGGCGTCCACACGCCGTGATACCCACACCTCTATATCTTGCTCCGCGGTCCCGGGAAACCATGAACGATTCTTGTACATACCTGAAAAGAAAGATGCGCTGAGCTCGAAATCTGTGCCGATATAGTGGAACAACCCAATGAGTTGAAGGCGACACATGCGCAAACTAAACTTGAGGCCAGAAAACCCCCGCTGACCTTCCTCGTCCCCTCCCCAGGCCTGGCCATCCAGTGGGGTGCCATCGGCGACGTGGGCGTCCTGCGGGAGACGATGGGGGCGGACATGATGGTGGGCGGCACGGTGCCCCAGCGCATTGCCTCGTGCCTGACGGTGCTGGACCACTTCCTGCGCCAGGGCCACCCCGTGATCTCGAGCCTGGTCAAAGCCGACCTCTCCTCCGGGGCCAAGGCCAAGGACAAGCACGACCTCGTCCAGTCCGTGGCACACATCTTCGGTAAGTCCTCTCCCTCTTGCTCGTCGTGGGAGGTGCCGAGACTGGTTCACACACTTGCGACAACAGAAAGGAGTGGAGCAACAATGTTTGTACTTTGCAGATATGACATTTAGTATTAATACCCTACGGTTATAATCTATGAAACACGCGTTAGTTTTAAGGCGAAAGCCTTATATGTCCCATTACGGTAAAAGGCGGCGTCGACGTTGTGCCCGAAAGATGGCCATAAAAATACGCCATCAAGCACGCGCCGCTCAGGGTCAAACCGGACGCGCCTCAGAAATAAAATACAAAGAAAAGCATAGCAACGCAGATGCTTCGTCACAAAAGCCGTGAAGCGGGCGTGGGCGCCGCGCTTTCGAATTGTGGGAGCGTGATGTCGCCACCAGACTGCCGTACGTGCTGGAGGAAGATGTGGCGCGTTGCCTCCGGCGCGTCAGTTGCGTTTCGGACTTCATCTGTGCTCGTTGCGGCCTTCGTGCGATGGACTGTGAGGCGACCGCGTCTACATCTACGGCCTCGACACCGACAAAAGCATCTTCATCTACGGCGGCTTCCGCAGGCAAACCTGGCCGCCCACACAAGTACGCCTTAGCCAAGAAAGCAGGCCAACGAATACGCAGACACACACACCGAATTCAACACCGGCAGAAGTCACTTTGGTACGTGTAGAAACATTACCCGAAAACATTTCACCCGCGGGACTCTAATGCTTTCGCATTCCTACACGTAAGCAGTCTTAAGTGTTTCCGACATTGTTTTTTTTTTTCCTCATGCGATGATAGTCGCAAAACAAAAATTATTAAAAAAAAGACAGAGCAATATTTTTTCTCTCAACTTGCAGGCAGAACAAGCAGCCGCGTAATCTGGAGCCGAATATATGCCGTCAATGTTTATCAGAGCAAGACGTCGTTAGGGGTTCGGGTATTGCCGTCATTGTAGTGATTGGACACGAGCCACTACCCGAATGCTCGTCGAGTTATTGATTATCGTGAGCCCAAATCGAGTGCTCGTGCGATGCTCGGGTCCAGTCTACGAGCCGCATTCAAATATTGCTACTGGGGGGGCTACGCCACCACTGCGACCTCTAAACTAGGTCGTGAAGTTTTGCCAAGAGCTTGAAAAACAACGCTCGTCTTTATTCTTGAAATTACACCGCAGCAAAGAAGATTTTTTTGGTTGGGTATGGCTAGTTTGGCTAGTTTGTTTTGCATCATGGTGTAATACGCCAAAACAACAAGAACGAAAACGAAGAGAGGACTTCGTTTTCGTCCTGACGCCGCGTCCTGTCCAGTTCTCCCTTCGTTTCGTACTTGTTGTTGTGGCGTATTACACCATGAAGTTTCTTGGTCAGCGGCGTTGAGTGCGAGCATATACTTAAGTATTCCTTGTGCAAGTAGGCTCGTGCAAAGTGAATCACATTCCAAGCGATTATCATTGCAGGGCCCCTTTAGGACCTCTCGCGTTTTCTTACGAGAGAATGCGCTGGCACACAGGTGTCGTCAATTAAGGAAACCTAGTACTGCATTTCACTAGAGCGCAGGTTTTGCGGTATTTACGAGATGAAATGTACTATCTATCTATGAAAAGTACTAGTTTATGACATTCTCGAAAATTTATTGAGAAAGAAGGATGCGAAATTTTAAGAAAGAAGGATGCGCGAAAGGAAAGGGAATATACGGAGATCCACTCCCTCCTAAGCAGTTTCACGTGTCTCAACAAGCCGAGCGTTGCTCTAGGCAACGTAGTGGGGCTCTGGGAACGTGTTCCGTTGGGTGATTCAAGGAGTTGTCACGGCGGCCACCTGAGATGGCACTCCCTGGCTGCAGGTGTGAAGGACCCCTCAAGCCTGAACCCCTCTCTGACCCTGGGGGAGCTGGGAATGGACTCCCTGATGGGCGTCGAGGTGATGCAGACCATCGAGAGGGACTACGACCTCAACCTGTCCATGCAGGAGATTCGGCAGCTCAGCATCGGTCGACTCAAGGAGATCGGCCAAGGGGCCGCGGCCGGAGACTCCACCGCACCCAAGGGGGCAGGTGGGCCTTTCCCTCTCTCGCGATACGCGGAAGCGTTTAGGGCGGCGAGTCCGCCCGATCGGTCGAAACGAAGGGACATCCGATTAGAGGAGCACTCCGAAGCTTTTAACGCGGAATGTGCTTAAAGGCTGGGATCCCCGAAGAAATTGCGACGGAACGCCTAAGAAACCGTTGCGAAACGTGTTATACATACCTCGGAGGACAATCTGTACAAAAGAACATATTGTCGCGGGTGGTGACCAAATGAACAATAAATAAAGAGGAACAAATAAACGTTTAATAGGACGAACTTGTGCCTAAAACAAAAAGTAAACCGAAGATAACAACAGAGCGTCGTTTTCGTCGAAGTCGGCGTAGCAGCAGGCTCGAGCGCTGACGAAGAACTGACTGCGGCTAACAACGCGGAGCCCCTTATGAACACGCGTGGGCTTCAGGAGTAATTGGCGTAGAAGGTTCTGTGTGTAGACTGCTCGGACCTCGAATAAAGTACAATGTGCTCAATTTCACTAGAACGCGACATTTACAGAAGAAGGCTCGAGGTACACCAAAGTGTTCTTATGAGTTGTGAATGCGAAAGCACGCGTGCCGCTCTTCGTTATCTTCTTTAATCTGTGGTGTACAACGCGCTGACATTGGGAGTGGAACGCTGGAGCCGCCGCCTCGCGGACAAGCAGCGCCATTGGGTGAGCGATGGTTCAAACTGTCGTGTACCTTGCGGCGCGAGGAAGGAACAGACAGCAACGTAGTTCCCAGCGGAACGAACCCCTTGGTTTATTCCATGCGCCGTATATATTGCCAGGCGCCGTTCAACCGATAAGAGGCGAGCGAACGCGGTGATCTGTGATAACACAACAGTCTGATAACACAGTCAGGATGACACCACACAAAATGACGCGCAGCGGCCAATGGAAGCCTCGTTGATGCGCGCCAGCCAATGGGACCGAAGTGTAAAAGGTGCCGTTGGCTTGCTTTGCGCGTGGTTTACGGCGTCTTTTGTAAGGTATTTGCATGGTTTCAAAGCTGATGACGTCGGCTCGCTCCATGAGACAGTTAATGCTTTCGCATTAATAACATAAAGACGCGTCACCTCCCGGGCATCGAACCTCGAGCCCTTACAGTAGGAGCTAAGGGCGATAACGATTCGGCCACGGGTGCGCTCGGTCAGAGACGCGCGTGACATTCTCCCCCTTCGAAAAGAGCATGGTCCCGATGCACCGTGCAAGGAAACAAAACTAAGCAAAGCGAAAAAAAGAATGAGAAAATACGGAGGCTGGTAAAAGCACAGTCCTATCAAGCGTAGCACGGGATCACAGTCCAAAGAGTTATCGTGCGCTGTACGGCTTGAGGCGCACGACGTGGACGACTTCATTTCGTGGTGGGCACGTTATGATGTTCTTGTACCGTCGGGCATCACCTCGTATTTCAGATCTTCGAATCAACGAAGCTCCTTGTAGGGTCCGAAGTAGCGCTTCAGTAGTTTCTCGTTCAGACCGCGTCGTCGTATTGGGGTCTGAACCCACACACGGTCTCCGTGCTTGAAGCGAACGTCGATCCGACGAAGGTTGTATCGGGTGACGTCGAAATGTTGTTGATCTTGAATCCAGAGTCGGGCGAGCTGGCGAATTTCTTCGGCTCGTTGGGCAACCACCCGGGCGTCGTGGCTTTTATCATCAGGCGGCTCGTGGGGAAGCATCGCTTCGAGCATGGTCGTTACTTTCCGGCTATGCACCAGGTGAAACGGTGTTACTCCTGTGTTCTCGTGTACGGCCTGTTGTAAGCGAACGTGACGTAGGGTAACACCTCGTCACACGTCTTGCGCTCTACGTCGACATACATGGAGACCATGTCGCCAATAGTTTTGTTTAGCCGTTCAGTTAGTCCATTTGTCTCCGAATGGTACGCAGTTGTTTGACGGTGGCTGGTGATACTGAGGCGAAGGATCTCTTGTGTCAGCTGGGCGATTAATGCATAGTGATCCACGGTGTGTAATGATGACTTCAGGGCACTGAGCCGGAGGACTATGCACTCGATTAAAAACTGGCGACTTCAAGAGCCGTACCTCATGGAAGGGCTTTCGCCTTGGCGTACCGTGTGAGATAATCGATCGCCATGATTATTCATCGGTTTTCTTGCGTTGATGGTGGGAACGGTCCGATTAAATCAATTTCAATTTGCTGTAATGGGCACATGGTGGCGCAATAGGCTGAAGAAGTCCTGCCGGTCTCGTCGGTGATCTCTTCCGTCGTTCACATTCGTGGCAACATCGGGTCTGGTGATAGACTGTCTTCGCAAGAATGGGCCAGTAGCACTTCTCGCGTATCCTGGCAAGAGTCCTGTTGTAGCCAATGTGTCCCGCCTTCGCGTCATCGTGGCAGGCTTGAGATAATTCTTCTCTAAGACTATAATGGATCACCAACAGCCACGCCGTGTTGTCGCTGAAGTTTTTTTTAGCGCAACTTGTGGGATTGAGAATGTTGGCAGAGTTCGTATGAAAACGCGGGGAACAACCTTTCCCTGTCCTTCTAGCTGCTCGATGAGTCCCCGCAGTTCAGTATCATCTTTTCGGAGTACTGCCATGTCACTGGCATTTAGTGCGCCGAGGAAACACTCGTATCCGTCGTCTTCCGTGCAGGGAGGACCGGCCTCGACAGGGGCCCTTGACAGACAATCGGCATCGCTGTGCTTTCGGCCGAACGTGTACACCACGGTCATGTCAAGCTCCTGCAGTCGTAGACTCCACCGGGCGAGGGGTCTTGAGGGGTCCTTCAGATTCGCGAGCCAGCACACGAGTGTTCGTCTCTAACCGCTCGGAACGGACTTTCGTACAAATACCGGCGAAACTTGGTGATGGCCGAGACGACGGCGGGGCATTCTTTCTCCGTCGTAGGGCAATTATTCTTCGCCTTGGACAGCGTACGGCTTGCATAGGCAATAACCCACCCTGTTCCCTCGTGTCTTTGGACGAGCACCGCGCCAAGCCCCGTGTTACTTGCGTCCGTGTGAATTTCTGTTTGTGCATGCTGGTCGAAATGGCAAAGGACAGGAGGTGTTTCAATTCTTCGTTTAAGCTCGTCAAACACTTACTGGTGCTCTTCTGTCTACTGAAACTTTACGGCGTATTTTGTAAGGTATGTCAGTAGCGCAGAAAGCTTCGGAAATCTCGAACGAAGCGCCTGTAGTAGACACAGAGGCCTAGAAATCTTCTTACGGCCTTTTTCTTTTCGACAGAGAGGAAACTGCGGGTACGGTGCGCGTCTTTTCGGGGTCAGGACAAACACCCTCGCTGTTCACTGCAAGGCCTAGAAATTTAAGCTCGCCATAATCGAACCAACATTTCGTTGCCCTGATAGTTAGTCCAGCGGCATTGATGGCTTGAAGTACGGCACGAAGTCGTCCTAAATGCACGTCAAAGTTTTTAGAGAGCACTACAACGTCGGTGAGGAAGACAAGACAGCTCTGCTATTTTAGGCCTGCTAGCACGGTGTCCATGACACGCTGGAAAGTCACCGGCGCTGTACATAGCCCGAAGGGCATCACTTTAAATTCGTACAGTCCGTCGGGCGTGACGAAGGCAGCTTTCTTCCGGTCCCGTTCGTCATCCTCGATCTGCCAGTAGCCACTCTCCAAGTCCATCAAAGAAAAGTAACGGGAGTGACGAAGGCGGTCTAGAGTATCGTCGATGCGAGGGAGTGGGGACCCGACTTTTTGTTCACAGCATCGAGTCGAGAATAGTTATCACAGAATCTCAGGGTTCCGTCCTTCTTCTTTAATACCAAAACAGGTGAAACCCTGGGACTGCTTGACGGCTGGATGATGTGATTATCGAGCATTTCCGGAACCTGTTTTTGGATGACTTTCCGCTGTTTCAAAGAGACACGGTACGGTGACTGGTAGACGGGGTGCACGTAGCCGTCGGTAAAAATGCGATGTTTGGCCACTGGTGCCTGGCAAACTTTCGACGACGTAGCAAAACAGTTACTGTACTCAGCGAGGAGATCAACTAATTGCTGGCGTTTTGAAGTTGGAAGCTCGGCGCAAGATGCCGACCTTTCGCGGAGACGTCCTTTTGTGCTGTGATGACGAGGTTTTCTTAAAGACTGCGGTGACAACGGCGGGCGCTTCAAACTCCTCGACGTGGCCCACGGTAGTACCCTTCGCTAAGTGCTGCGGCTCCTCTAGGAAGTTCGTCACGAGAGCAATTATACGTCCTTCTTGGAGATCCGTTACGCCTGGTGCGACTCCAATTCCTTTTTCAATGAGCAGTTGGATTTTGCTTTTAAGAAGAGCTTCACCACACATGGCTGCGTCGGTTATGACTGTTAAAAAATCACTGGAACGCGGCGACAGGTTCATATGGTCGGCAATAACTCAGATCGCGGTTGACGTCGTGTTAGGCCCGACCGGTGGCAGAACAGGCTTTCGCAGCGTCATCTGGTTTGCCCCGAGCTCGATGACGGCGCCATATTCGCAAAGAAAGACTATTCCGAGGATAACGTTTCTCGCACAGTCTTGTAGAACGACTAACTTCCCTGGGCATGTCTCAATGTGGATCTCAGCGCGAGCAGTGTATTTCCCAACTGATGTAATTAGGTGCCCTCCGGCGGTTCGTATTTGAGGCCCATCCCAAGGCGTCGTCACTTATCGCAGGCGGCGAGAGAGCCTCCCACTCAAGATTGAATAGTCTGCTCTGGTGCGCACGAGTGCCGATGCGTCGTGGCCGTCGATAACAAAGCTTAGGTTGTTGGACATCGTTGCAGGGGCGTCGTTGTGATGCGTGGCGTCGGGAGAGTGGGAGCGCTCCGGCGTTCTTGGAGGCTCTTTACTTTGGTCGTCTTCGGCAACGCCACCTCCAGGCGTTGCCGCACTTAGTTTTCCCGACGAGATAGAGCGCACAGGCTGTCACTGCGAGACCGACAGAAAGGCGATGCGGAACGTCGGGGGGATGGACAACGGGAACCTTGTGGTGCTGTCGGTGCTGGTGACAGAGGTCGGTGGAGGTATTGCTCGATGTCGCGAGGGCGTTCGCCGTATCTTGACCGGAAGTCGTTCGGCGCAAACCCTCGTAGTCCCATTTGGTAGTATGGGCACCTCCGGTAGACGTGGTCAGCCTCACTACAGTGGTACCACAGCGGTCGTCGTCAGTCGTGCGCCAGACGTCGGTCGACCATGGCACCGTTTTTTTTTTCGTTTTTTTTTTGGGGGGGGGATGGGGGGGGGAGGCTGTAATGGGCCCGGTCTTCCTGGCGTCGGCTATTCGCGGCGTTTGGAACTCTCAACGAGGTGGCCACGCGTATTGGCGGGCAGCTGGTGACTGCCGTCGCGGCATTGAAGCGTAGGTTACCAACTGTTCTTCGGGTTCAGCGACGTCGACAGGAGCCTACTTGAAAGGCTCGCTGCACTTCTTCTTGGACAAGCTTAGTGAGAGAGAGCGCAGCTCGTCGATCTGCCGCCGGCACCAGCTTTCTAAGCTCCTCGCGGACAATGTCTCACGAATCGCAGAAAGGTCAGAGCAGCGGGAACCGATACTGCAGTTCGACGTAGCAATTACGGTGGCACCGGAAAACCGCTGGTAATGGTTTGCCCTCGCGAGGAGCGCCCTTTACAGGCTAACTCACTCTGAGACGAAGCTTTCCACTGTCGTCGGAGGAACGCGAGCAAGGCCGCCGAAAATGTCATCCCTGACACCTCGCATGAGTTCCCGCAGCATATTCTCACAGGTGGCCTACAGGTCGGCGCGAGCGAAAAGACGGAGGACGTCTTCAATGAAACTAGTAACGCTTTCTATGGGTTCCTCGTTCCTCCCTCGAAGCAGGTCTTCAGCCGCTCCCGTATGTGTTTTCTGACAAATGTTTCCTTCAGCTGGTTCTTACAAACTTCCCACTATGTCAAGGTGACTTCGCAATTTTCGTATCATTGCCTTTCTGTTCTTTCCATCAAGAAGTAGATGTTCTGGAGGCGTTGCTCATCAGTCCATTCGTTTTGGCGGGCTTTCTAGCTGTACTGCTGTTGCCAGTCTTCTACGTCCTTGTAGATTTAACCGTGAAATGGCGTCGGCACATGGGGAACCACAGGCAAGAACACGCAGGGCGACGCTGTTGGGGGCTTTTCTGTTTGCTGAGCCGTGGAGCTCATCGTCGGCTTCGATAGCTTTTTTGTCTTGTCCGGCAGTGGTCCAAACTCAAGGCGTTGTTCTTGGAGATTCTCGCGGGCCCAGGGCCATTTCTTCTTTTACAAAAGGTCGACTTGGAGTAGGGCTTGCCGAACGGGTCCTCGGAGGGGAACGGTTAAGAATCATAAGGTGAGTACCCCGCACCTTAACCAGAATCTCACGGGTGGCGACCAGAGAACCATAAATAAATAAAAATAATTAAACGTTTAATGGGGCGAACTTGTGCCCAAAAGAAAGAAGGAAACAGAATACAACAACAGAGCGGGTTCAGAAGTCGAAGTCGGCGTAGCAGCAGGATCCAGCGCTGGCGAAGAACTGACTGCCGCTCGCCACGCGTCCCTTATGTACAAGCACGGGCATCCGGAGCAATCGACGTAGAAGGTTCTGTGAATAAAATACTCGGACCTCGAATCAACAGCGATGTTCTCAAAATTAATTAGAACGTGAAATTTATAGAAATAGCAAAAAGACGCGCCCGCTCGCAGGCATCGAACCTCGAGCCCTTTTGCGTACAGGCCAAGGACAATAACCATTGGGCCGCGTGTACGCTTGGTTAGAGACGCGCGTGGCAATATTATTGAGAATGCTCGATAATTAGTTGAGAAGAAAACGGAACACCGAAAGCACCCCAACAGGAACCGCCAAACTGCTAATGGTAGAGCGCCGGTGACAGAGGGGCAGTAGAGAACACAAACGCCGCCGTTCGGCGTACGAACGCGTTCGCAGAGACGAAGACGGCTAGCTTTGAGTCTACCCACTAATCGTTCCAACCAGAGCTCGGTGCTCCGACGCCTCAGCGCGCTCTCGTCTCTTCTCACTCAGTTTCGGTCTATACACTGAGATAACTAAATAAAAAAAAATAACCTAAACTTTGTCCGCTAACCCCAAAGATTGCCGCGGAAACACGTTCTGCGTACACTGTCTTTATCGGAGATGCTCGCTCCACACATTGAGACCACGTATGAAGATAAATTTTGTTTTAACCACCCAGACTGTGTTTTTTTTTTTTGTTTTTTTTTTTTACCTTCGCTTTTTTACGCACTTTGTTTGGTACCTGTAAATTCGAAACGTCACTAGATGGTGGGCTAGAGGGCCGGGCGGGCAGTCTAGGAAAACGTGCGTAGCGCACGTTTGTTTTGTGCAGCTGGGAGCGTCGAGATCATTCATTTGACACCAAACTCTTTGTCATCAGTTGGGAACAAATTATACTATCCTCTGGTCGTGAGCATTTACGAGGAAGTACGAGGTTGCGCTCCCTTCCAACCAAAGGGAGTGTCTGAACCAGCGTTTAGTGATGAATTGAGGAAAGTTTTGCCTGGAATAATATTTCTTGGCGTCTTTACGACTTCGCTGCCCCTCAATTTGTGAAGCGATCGAGACATTTTGACAGTGCTGCGCGCATTTTTCCGACGAGCAGATTATTTTAAGGAAGTCTGTCCGAAGCTTGGTTTTTATGTCTTATACGTTCGCAGTTACGCGCTAAGATTACACCGACTGCGGTGTCTTTACAAAGACGGTAAAAAAATAAACCCTTCTGGCTCAATGTCGAGCTAAAACTGACGCTTTAGTTGCAAAACAATACATACAAAGAAATTAGTTTTTCCAATGTCAATCTAAAAGCCAACAGTGATCGTACACAAAGTGAATAATGGTCGAAACAATAAAGAGTGTTTCTGGCGATCTTTTATTGCCGTAGTTTTGCGGTGCGAGACTCACGGGCCCTTTTGCCCCGCAGAGGACTCGTCGGTGTTGGAGGTTCCCCGGCTGACGCTGATGGAGAAGCTGGTGCCGGACCAAGTGTCGGTGGAGATGAATGGGCGCCCCGGCGAGCCGGTGTTCCTGGTGCATCCCATCGAGGGCCACGTGGGAGCCCTCTACGAGCTGGCCCGGCAGCTGCCCGTGCGGGCCGTCGGGCTGCAGCGCACGCGCGACGTGCCCACACGCAGCATAGAGGAGCTGGCCTCCATTTACCTCCAGGTGCGCCAGCACCGCCCGCCCTCCCGCCGGCCGGCACGTGCCTGGCGTCGGGCACGGTGTCGATCAAACGACTGCGTGGGCAATGCCCAAAACTTTAGTCGCGGTAACGCTTCTAATGTGCGATCCACTTATAACGATACCACGTATTACGATGTACCACCAATAACATTCGGTTATCGCTCAGACTCGAGTCCAGATACGACGATAATCGATTATAACGATTAAAGTTTCGGGTTTTCTCATTGTCGTCATAAGTGGATTGCGCCGTAAAACCTCGCACAAAAGACAGTCTCCACACATTGTATGCAGACATGTTCGAAGCTTACAAGGCAAACGTACTTCTGCGCGAGGCGTGTATGCAGATCGTCTTGTCGCGTTTGCGGCGGACACCGCGTCTTCTGTACTAGGTATGGGCAGTGCGACTGCAGCTTAAAGGGGCGAAGCAACGATTTTTTAACTTAATAGCGCTCAGAATTGTTCCTTGAAATTCGAAACCTATAGCTGTAAAACACGTCTCAGTTGTTTTTGTTTTGTTTTTTTCTCCACGCAATGAGAGTCACGGAAAGGGTTAAAGAAAAAAGGCATTCGTCCCCTCGACAGAGTTCCGGCATAGATAGGGTTCGGCTATCCGCGTAATCGCGGCGATCGGCCACGAACCATTACCGGAATGCGCGTCCAGACGTTGTCACGAGCCCACATTGAACGCTCGCGTAGTGCTTGCGTACACTGTACGCGAGCACTTGGCGCCCACGACAGGGGCCCCGTGGGCAGCCATTTAGATACCGTCGCTGCGGAGATCGTGAATCTATAGATGACAAAAACCTGGGGATTGCATCGTTGACGACGCCAACAAGATGCGCACGTGCGCTTCCGCGTCTTGAGCACCCATCAAAGCTGTCGACGCACACTGTTGACTTGCGGAAAAAATAGCTGACTGAAAGTATAGTCTGGTAACTGTTGTTCAGCGTAACTGCAGACAAGGGTGACTGAACTGAGTTTAAGGTTGCCCGAGTAAGTGGGCTATAAAATGTGTTAGATTGGCTCATGGGAGGCCACTCATGTCCCCTTTTAGGGAACGCTAACGCTGACCCATTAACTTTTCTCTTTTGGCTTTCTCTTTTCACTCCTCTATTTTTCGCTGCCTTTTTTTCACTTCGTTTCGGGGTCAGTGTTAGCGTTTCCCGAACAGGGACGCGAGTGGCGTTTCCCAAGGGTCATGCAAACATATTCTCTGAAGATCCACCGATGGATCTTCCTTCAATTTGTTTACCACCTACTAAAACCAGCGCTAGTACTTAGTTCACAGTCTGTTTTGTAGCACAAGCAAAGCATACGCGCTCCGCGCACCTGCAAGTTCAGACTCTCCCCAGCATCCGCGCGCGCATTGGCTTCCGCCCCTTGACGTCACCTCCCTCTCGCCTCTGTCCTTCACTACTCTCCTCCTCTGTACGCGGCGCGCTTCCCTTTCCACTGTTTTGTCCACAGACGGACGCCGTCAGCTTTTCCCTGACATGCAGGTACTAAAGCAAACGCATTAATCTTCTTGGTCAGTGGCGTTTCGTGCAAGTATACTTGGGTTCCATTTATGCGCAAAATAGGGTAGTCATACGACTCATCCTGGCTTTGCCGCCATAGGGCCGTCCGTAAGCCTCGCGATAGCTCAAACTCGGATATATCCTACTTCCGGTTAATTCGAACACATTTTTAAAATATTGGTTGTTCCGCTATGTTTTAGCACATTCAAAAACCGTTTAATTCGAACAGCGCTTTCGTGTAAGTAACTGTTTTTCTTCCCGTGGCCCTGCAGAATGGCAACACCCGCGGTGCTTGCTTCCGCGCGTGTTACTTCTCCGCAGTGCACCGGTGCTCGGTGAGTAGCGTACTCAACGGTGCTCAGGCAGGGCACACGTGAGCTATGAAAACGGGCACCACGCGGAAATTTCCACAGCAACTTGGGCGGACGCTGTGACGTGGCAGCATGGCGTAGATCCACGTCGCAGCGTCCGCGCAAGTTGCTAAGGAAACCGCCCCGCGGAGCCCGTTTTCATCGTTCATGTGTCTCCTTCCTAAAAGGTAACATTTGACAACTTCTTGGTCCAATAAACAAACCTAGTTTTGTTTTGAGTTGTTGGATGCCGTTTAAACAGTCCACAGTAAACAACCTTTTTCAGGGATAAATAAAGTTATGCCGTAAATTTCACAACTGTTTAATGCATGCACACCTGCTTGTTATAAGTAGGCTTATGTAGAGAAAATCATCAAATATCTTCTTCGTACGTGCAGCCATTCATGTGAAAAATCTTAATTTTAAGTCGCAACACATTTAGATACATTTCTGATAATTCAGACTTCCGATCATTCCAAAAAAATTCTTGTCTTCGTGGAGTTTGAAATAATGAGTCTACCTTAGTCCCACCTCCGTGGTCTCACGTGGCCGTCCCCATTTCTGCAGCGGCTCGTGGAGGTGCAGCCCCAGGGGCCGTACCACATTGTTGGCTACTCGTTCGGCGCAACGGTGGCCTTTGAGATGGCGGTGCAGCTGCAGGGGGCGGGGGCGGGGGCCCCCGTGGGCAGCCTGGTGCTCCTCGACGGGTCGCCCAACTACATCGAGGTCCAGACGGTGCACCACCGCATCCAATTCACCGACGCCAACGAGGAGGAGGCCACTATCCTCTGCACCTTTCTCATGCAGTACCTCGACATCGACTTCCTCCAGGTAAGCGCCCTTGCGAGGGCAAAGCTGGGCCTACGCTATTCTATCCTAACCTTAACCTAACCTAACCCTTGCCTGAACTAAAGTGCCTGGAACGTTTTTCCACGGGCGTGTTTAGGGAGTCTTCGAAAGTGGTACCTCGATTTCCGTCCTACGATGTGGTCGAAGTGTCCTGCTGTTGCCTGCCGCGATCCTGGCTGTAGCACAGGAGCGGTAGTTTGTGCGGCAAACGCCCGTTGTGCCGTAGGCCACTCTGCAGACAGAGATTCTATGGAAACCGGAGCATACGCGAGATGGGTTGCCACGTCAATGGCAAGACCCGCATCCGCTCGCTGTTTTCGGCGATATTTTTACGACCAACGGCAGGATCGTGACACACCGGCTCCTGAAGCAATTTATTGCCACTTTCAAACCGCTCTGAATGCATAGGTGGAAAGGACGGTGAACACGCAAGTCGCAGATGCGTTCGATAAACTGTACGTGAACCCATAGGCAGAAAGCTCAATTTTTCGGGGGGGGGGGGGGGGGGGGGGGGAGGCGGAGGTGGAACCTGGATAACGTAGGATAAACATGCTGACGGCATGATACCTAAACAAATGTCTCCTTTTTTGACCCTACAATTTAGCTGTCAATGCAGTTGTGATCAGTGAATTCCGTGGTACAAGCGCACTGACCGTAATGACTTGTTTCAACATTGGGGATAACAAATTGGGGCTTAAAAAACGAATAATGCCATCGGCTTCTGTATGCTGCAGGTCCGCTTGAGGTGCCACTGTCGTCACTCGCAACTATTTCCAATGGCTTTCGAAGTAATTTCGAGCACTAGCCCTTATTGTATTTGTTAATACTACGTAGGGTCTTCGAACAGGACTGGGCGAATAACTAGTAAAATTTATCCAGTCGCCAGCTGTGGTCACTTAGTGACCAAAGCTGGTGAATGGATAAATATTTATTTATCCACTGGGCGTTGGCTATCGATATATTCGGGCACCAGGGCGAACAGGTGAGATTAATGAGGTGCATCCAGAGGTTCCGGAGACGATGGTACTTGCTTTTCCAAAG